AATAGCTAGTGTTGTGTTGATAAATTGACTCAAGGGACTACAAAAGCCCTGATTTAGAGTGTTTGTTAATTTCCACGGTATAAATATTTCCAGTGAGACTGATTGCAAGCTATCCTTCCACCAGCTTGCCAAGTTCCTGAATATTTTAATAGGAAGCTTTCTGCAAACCAATCTGAGACTGCTAGCAATGTGCCGCTGAATAGCTTCTGGTCATACATCCTGGATTCATGACTGCTGAGTCAACTTGATAGGCCTTCATTTGATTAGAACTCAGTTATTAAGAGAGAACCTTTAGGCCAAGGTCTGGTAGGCTCACACCTGTAATCCTAGCTACTATACAGGAGGCTGAGATTTGAGGATCACAGTTCAAAGCCAGCCCAAGAAGGAAAGTCTGTGAGACTCTCATCTCCAATAAACTACTTTAGAAAAGCTGGAAATGGAGTTGTGGTTCAAGTGGTAGGGGGCTATGTTTGAGCAAAAGATGCTCAGGCCCTGAGCACAAGAAGAAAGGAGGAGGAAGAGGAGAAAGAGGAGGAGGAGGAAGAAGAAGGAGGAGGAGGAGGAAGAGGAAAAGAGGAAGTGGAGGAAAGGGAAAAGAAGGAGAAGCAGGAGGATAAGGAAGAAAAAGAGGAGGAGGAGGAAGAGAAAGAAGAGTCAATGAGTGAATGGTAGCCTTTTGATTATATTTTGTTTTTATATTTTTTGTTTTTTTGGGTCCGGTCGTGGGGCCTGAACTCTGGGCCTGGACACTGTCCCTCAGCTCTTCAGCTCAAGGCTAGCGCTCTACCACTTGAGCCACAGCGCCACTTCCAGCTTTTTTCTTTTTGCTTATGTGGTGCTGAGGAATCGAACCCAGGGCCTCGTGCATGCAAGGCAAGTGCTCTACCACTGAGCCACCTTCCCAGCCTGTTTTTATGTTTTTAAATGATATTGGGGTTGCACCTAGGACTTAGCATTTGAGAGGCAAGCACTCTACCACTGGAGCCACACCCTCTTTCTTTAGTTCCTTTTCAAATAGGAGCTCATGTTTTCGTCTGGGTCTGGCCTCCGACTTCCATTCTCTATTCAGACTCCAGTGTGGCTGGGATCACAGGCATTAAGCTACTACATCTGCCTCATTTGCGATGAGAGTCTAATTTTTTTGGCCCAAGCTGGCCTCTTGATCCCCACCTCTCTAATAGCTGGGATGACCAGGCATCAGCCACTGTGCTCAGCCTCTGATATAAATTTTTAAGAGCATAAGATAAGTGAGTGGGGGGGAAAAAAAAAGAACCAAAGTCCTTTTTCTCTGCACCTGCTGACAGCAGTGGTACTTTATTCCTGGCACTGAGGTTGATAGTAAGAATTACAAACCTGCCAGGTTCTGGTGGTATACACCTGTAATCCTAGCTTCTCAGGAGGGTGAGATCTGAGGATCGAGGTTCAAAGCTAGCTTGGGCAGGAAAGTCCCTGAGACTCTTATATCTACCAGAAAACCGGAAGTAGCACTGTGGCTCAAGTTATAGAGCACTGGCTTTGAACTGAAGAGCTCAGGGACAGTGTCCAGGCCCAGAGTTTAAGCTATGACCAGTCCAAAAAGAAAAAAAAAAGCATACCGAACCTGCCAAATTCTCTTTTCAGAGTGCTTCCAAAACCACAGTGAAAGTCACAAAGGAAACTGATTTGTACCCATTCCTGAGCTTGCTTTTTTTTTTTTTTTTGTATTGTTGAGGCTTTTCAACTTAATCTGCAGACAGTCAGAGAATGATGCCCACCAATGTAAACCATCATATCACAAGAGAATTTGGTTCATGAAAGGTAGGTTATGATTTAGCGAAGAGGGTTTGAACACTGAATCATGACTATGAAAAGCCACAGTAAATTCATAAATGATAATGTTGGAATCCTGTGCAGCAAGTTAGCAATATGATAGCTCATTCAACTCAGGGGAGAAAAATAATCAGGGACCAATTGCTAGACTCTTCATGCTTCAACCCCAGTAACTCTGTTCTTGAACTTCAAACACAGCAGTCATGCTCTTATAACTCAAACGACTTAGAAGACCAGGTGAAGGTCAGAAATCTCTAATAGAATAATAGTATTAGTCTTTTTGGCTCTTAGCATGATTCCATTTGGAACAGTTATTTGGCTCAGTGCAACAGGATTGGAAGCCAGGTCACTTTCCATTTGTTTATTGAACATTTCCCATTGAGACAGATACATTTGCCAAGTTCCAGTCACAGAGAATAAAAGTAAACAAAACACTTTATTCCTTGGACAAATGTACATTCTGCAAAAGCAAGAATCGAAGCCACTGACAGAAAGCAAAGTCAAATAAGAACATAAGAGAGATTCACTGGTGGAGAAGTCAGAGATTTGACGGCTATTTGAATAAATCAAGCATGCTCTCTGGGGACAATCCCATATTAATATGAACATGGGAGGATGGGTGTTAAACAAACAGATAGAAATTAGAGATAAAAGAAGACATGTGCGGTACTGAGATGTGCAGATAGTAAAAGCCATGGGTCATATTTTCATAAGAAAAACCAGCCATTACATTACCTGGGTGTGGTGGTGCCTATCTGTAATCCCAGCACTTGGGAGGTTGAAACAGAAGTGTTCAGGGTTAATCTACTCTCTAGGTTACAGGGCGAGCCCTTATCTCAAATGAAAGAAAATGAATGAATGAATGAGTGAGTGAGCAAATGACAAAAGAAGGAAAGAAAAAAGAAATGAAGAAAAAGGAAGAGGGAGGAAGGAAGGAAGAGAAAGAAAAGAAAGAGGGGCTGGGAAGGTGGCTCAGTGGTAGAGCTCTTGCCTTGCATGCACGAGGCCCTGGGTTCGATTCCTCAGCACCACATAAGCAAAAAGAAAAAAGCCGGAAGTGGTGCTGTGGCTCAAGTGGTAGAATGCTAGCCTTGAGCTGAAGAGCTGAGGGACAGTGTCCAGGCCCAGAGTTCAGACCCCACGACTGGACCCCCCAAAAAAAAGAAAGAGAGAGAGAGGGGGGGGGCTGGGTGCCAGTGATTCATGCCTGTAATCCTAGCTACTTAGGAGGCTGAGATCTGAGGATTATAGTTCAAAGCCAGCCTGGGAAGGAAAGGTTGTGAAACTTATGTCTAATAAACCACCAGAAAACTGGACATGGAGCTGTGGCTCAAGTGGTAGAGTGCTCACCTTGAGCTGAAGAGCTGAGAGACAATACTCAAGCCCAGAGTTCAAGCCCTATGGTTGACCAAAAAAAAAAAAGAAAGAAAGAAAGAAAGAAAGAAAAAAGAGCAAGTAATCCAGTTAGTTTAAATAGAGCACACATTACTTGTGATTATTTCATAGAAGCCAAGTCTGGAGGTCAATTTGCTCATGTTACATGTATGAAATGTATGAAGGGCATTATATAAGTGATGAGCTTAGCTCATCAGAATCATGGGTTTGAGGCCAGTAGTTGACACATCTCTTGCCTTTGTTCTGAGACAGGAGACCACATTTCTGTCCTTTTGGATGAGAGAAGCCATTTAGAAATCCAAGTTGGAGCACAATTCAGGAAGCAACTCTGTGTGTGTGTGTGTGTGTGTGTGTGTGTGTGTGTGTGTGAAAGTGAGTGAGAATGAGAGAGAGAGAAAGAGAGAGAGCGATGTAGTATTTCTCTTTTTCAGTTGGCTACCATGGCTTTGCCACTCTTCACATTCTTCCTCTAAGCTGATCTTGAACTGGATCCCACTCCAAATGAGGAATGACTGACTTGTGATTTGGAGGCTGGGGAAGAAGGGGTTCAGGGCACTAAGCTGCATTCCCAACTTAGCAGAGGAGATCTTCAAAGTCACAGGCTTCCCAACTGAAAAGAGTCTGAGTTATTGAAATAAGGATATTGGGCCAAAGCAACATCCTCACCACCATCCTAGCACCTTGCTGGGTGGCGGGGCCTTTCCACCCAGATCTCAAAAGCCATTCTTTGAATTGCAGGTGTGTCACGCTCTTTAGCCCCATGAAATTTTTGCTACAGAGAATGCTCTTCCCCCAGATGGTTTGTTCCCTGATTGTTTCCCTAGATGGTTTGATTTGCTCACCCCTGATTGTTCTCCTATCTGGTTTGCATTAGTCATCCTAATTGTTCCCCTAGATGGTTTGCTTTTGGTGGGCTTGGGTCCCCATCCCAAAACTTCAAAGCCTTACAAAGCTCTGTGCAAACTAGCTTTCTGGGCTGCAGGTCTTTGGGACAGGAGTCCATCTGCAGTCGCCAGCTTTCTAATAAAGACTCCCGATTCAATCTCTCAAGATGTGGCTTCTCTGGATCTCACAAACGGATTCGCATATACCATTAGAATTGTGGTTGATGGGACAAATGGACATGGGCATTTTAAATCATAAAGCCTGGAGCAGCACCCCAGTGCCTTCCTCCTATGGCCTACCGTGGCCTCTGCTTGTCATAGCCTGAAGGTTTTGACAACTCAACATAACCCATTCCTCTGAGTGGAAATTGCTCCATCGACAAGTACGCTGCTTTGCCAGCCAGTGAGGTGGTCTTTGTGAACTGGTGAAGGGGCCGAAAGTGTTAAGACTAGTGGAAAGATAGCTTCACTGAAACTCAAGAGGTTTTGCCTTTTACACCTAGGTCTGCAATTGACTCCCCACATTAGTTTAAAATAATAACAATAACAACTTGCTGAGCACTGGTGCCTCACACCTGTAATCCTAGCTACTCAGGAGGCTGAGATCTGAGGATTGTTGTTCGAAGCCAACTGAAGCCGGAAGGTCCGTAAGACTCTTTAATCTTCAATCAAACACCAAAAAGCCAGAAGTGGACCTGTGCTTCAAGCAGTAGAGTGGGAGGCCTTATGCAGAAAAGCTCAGGGATGACACCTAGGCCCTGAATTCAAACCCTAGGACCAACGCCGAAATACTAATACTAACAAAACAATCATTAGAACTATATACATGAGTTCTATGATCATTGCTTCTCCCTAACATTGTGAGGAAAAGATTCCAGGCTGACCTGTCCCAGGGACATTTTTCACCTCCATCTAGGCCTCCTCAAGGTGGTACCTCTGGAAATTTCCTCCATAGGGGGGGATCAGTGCAGAGGGCTGGGGAGCATGGGATGAATGGCAGATGGATGATTGACAGGGAAACTGACGCACTGCGTTTTCTGTCAGCTCCACGAGGTGGCACTCTGTCGGGAAGATGTCCCTCTGGACAGGTGGGCCTTGTGGATGATTCTGGCCATACCCCAATTTGCAGGACAGAGAGGTGACATTCCGAAATGCTGTTCGGAAGCGACGGGACAGTAGGTTATAGATAATGGGATTGACAGCCGAGCTCAGGTAGAAGAATACACCTGAAATACAAAGGAATCGGTTAATGGGGCAGCAGACACATTAGGGAGAGGTCTGCCTATTGCACAGAGGCCTGGATTTCCTGCCACTGAATCTTTTCAGAAAGAGCAGTATCTCTAAGACTCTAAATCGAGACAACAAAACGCTCTGAGTAGATTTAACACCTGTGCACTTGGGGATCAAACACACAGAAAGATTAAAGAGTCTTAGAGGAGGAAAAAATAAATAAAAGTAGACTGGCCTGGGATCTGAGATGAGAGATTCTGTAACTTCCTTTGATCTGTGCTTGTCTAAATTAAAGAACATGTTCCCATAGCACGAAGAGGAGATGGTTAGCCATCAGAGGAAAGAAGGGTGGTTGGTTTTTTAAATTCTCCTTACGATTGGAATTTTACTTAAATGTCTAATTGGAAATTGCAAGTAAATGGAGGAATGGTAACTCAGTCAGCACTCACAATCCCTGTAAACATTTCTTCCAAGCAAATATTCCCCAAACTCTTTTTCCTAGCCTATCTTTGCTCCCTTGAGGATTCTCCTACATTATTTGACTAATTGCATGGTATTATTTATGTTACCTACCAGATGCCTGGCACCCAGTCAAAGTTCAATTTGTTATACACTCTTCTGTTAACACCATACCTTATTCTCTTTTCTTTCTTTCTCCCTCCCTCCCTTCTTTCTTCTTTTTTTTCTTTTTCTTCCTTCCTTCCTTTCCTTTCTTTCTTTTCTTTTTTCTTTCTTTCCTTCCTTCCTTTCCTTCCTCTTTCTTTTTTCCTTTCTCTTTTTTCTTCTTCCTTTCTTTCTTTCCTTTCTCTCTTTCCTTCCTTTCTTTCTCTTTCCTTCCTTTTTCTTTCTTTCTTTTTCTCTTTCTTTCTTTCTTTCTCTCTTACTCTCTTTCTTTCTTTCTTTCTTTCTTTCTTTCTTTCTTTCTTTCTTTGCTAGGCCTAGGGTCTGAGCTCAGGGCCTATGTGCTGTCCTGGAGCTTCGTCGTGCTCAAGGCTAGAGCTCTACCACTTGAGCCACAGCAGAACTTCCATTTTTTTTTTCCTCAGTAGTTTATTTAAGATAAGCGTCTCATCGACTTTCCTGCCTGGGCTGGGTTTTGAATCGTGATCCTCAGATCTCAGCCTCCTGAGTAGCTAGGATGACAGCCATTAGCCACCAGAGCCCAGCTAGGAACTGAACTCTTACTGAGGTTCAGGGCCATCAAGGGATATAGCCAAACTCAATAAGGAACACTACGCTGATACAAAACAATGTCAGTTAAGAACAAAATATGTCTCACTAAGAGGTACTGTATGGCAGTTCCCACAGTGATCTATGTCCTTGTGTTTGCAAGGACTGGGACATCACAAAGGATTTTGTGGGCAAGCATGAAGTCTGGTGACATATTCGAATGGGCCGGAGACAGCTGAGGAAGAGAGGGGAGGGTAAGGCAGTGTGATGTGCAGAGGCCATGTGGACAAGGGAAGGATATAGCGCCCCCTAGTGATTACACGGCCAGGTGAATCCTGTTAATGAAAATGTTACCATTGAGAAGTGGAAATGACTTAGGGTATTTTCTGATTAGTTGATGATGATGATGATGATGATGTTTGGTGTTAGTTTGTTTGGAGCTTGAACTCGGGCCTGGGTGCTGTCCCTTAGCTTTTGTTTCCTTTCAAGGCTAGTTCTCTACCACTTGAGCCACAGCCCCACTTCCAGCTTTTTTGGGTGGCTAATTGGAGATACCAGTCTTACTGACTTTCCCCTGCCTGGGCTGGCTTCGAACTATGATCCTCAGATCTCAGCCTCCTGACTAACGAGGTGTGAGCCACCAGGTGCCTAGCTATGGTATTTTCTGATGGTTTCAGAGAATTAGCGTTCATCTTGTTTGTAATGTGGAGGGCAGGGGAGATGGTATTTTAATAGCAGCATGACATTATTGAAGCCATACTTAGCATCTTTTCTTGTGCTTTTATATAATTATCTTTAAGTAGTTGTACCAAGGGGTTTCAATTCAATGTGTCATTTTGTGCGCAATGCACCTCAATCAACATTACCTCATTCTTCATTCTCTTCCATCTCTCCTAAACCCATCCATCCCCTCCACATACCCAGTTCCATTTGCCCCTCTAGACACTGAATATCATGACTATATTTGCCCACCCTTCCTCTCTCCATTCATTTGCCCACCTCGAAACCTAAATTAAGGTGTCCCTTTGCTATATCTGAAGAGGTTCATTGACTAGTCAAGTCTCACATGATTTTGGAGTCTTCCTCAATTTATTTAGATCATCTATTTTTCTCCTATTAACCCTAGGATAAGAGCTGGAAATGTTTTTGAGATTTGGCCTTGCCATTACTAATATTTATGTATGATCTATGCACATAACGGCTGAGTATAAAGGGCAGGTAAGAAGGAGGCTCATGGTTCTCAGTGGGCATTTATGTGTTACTATCTTTTGCTCCATGTCTATTTGGAGCCTAACTCATGGAAACAAATCTTATCTGATCTTCTCTTCTCTCTGCTTATGTCTTTGTGAGCTAAAAAGTCCCCAAGCAAACTATTGACTAACAGAGGTAGAAGGATCCAAAGCCAATAGTCACACTGACTGAAAAAGGGAGACTTTATGGTTGATCTCTGCTCTGGTTTTTGACCATGAACTTGACATTCAATGCCCTAGACTTGAGTTCTTGTTTTCACTGTTTGTCCACTGAGCGGCTTTGGGCAAGTCACTTCTGGAGTTGTTTCTATGATCATAAAATATTAATGTTTATATTCTGTTATTATTATTATTAATGGTAATATCACCTTATTGTGGTGATGCTAGAATGTCATGGTAGTTGACAACTTACAATCTCTTTCATGCCTATTATTTCAACTGCTTCTGCGTGTGTGTGTGTGTGTGTGTGTGTGTGTGTGTACGTGCATGCACACGTGCGCGCCAGTACTGGGACTTGAACTCGAGACCTCCCATTCTTGCTTAGCTTTTTCACTCTACCACTTGCTTGGTTATCTGTGATAAGTCTCATGTACTTTTTCATCTTCAGACTATGATCCTTGGATCAAAGCGTCCTGAGTAATGAGGACTCCAGGAGTCAGCTGCTGGTGCCCAGATCGTTTGATTTGCTTTTAACCATCAGGCCATGGCTGTCTAGAGCAGACATGACTGCCCAATATGGTGGAGGCATCTTGGACATGGAGAAAGCCAACCTGTGCAGTGGCTCACACCTGTAATCTTAGCTACTCAAGGCTGAGATCTGAGGATCATAGTTGAAAGCTAGCCCAGGCAGGAAAATCTGTGAGATTCTTACCTCTAATTAATCACAGAAAAAACTGGAAGTAGTACTGTAGCCCAAGCAGTAGAGTGCTAGCCTGAAGCAAAAGGAACTTAGTGACAGTTCCCAGGCCCAGAGTTCAAGCCTCCGGAAGGCAAAAGAAAAAAAAAAAAGAATATTAATGAAGTACAAATCAAGTCACTCATCTTAGTGACCTTCCCATTCCTGATTTCTACCCTATTCCATGTCCCCCTTGACAAAACGCATAATCAGAACAGCATACATAAGGCCTTGATGAACCCTGAGTTCCCTTCACAACAGAGTATGAGATTTCAGGGACACTATATGTGCTAAATTAACATCATCCAGCCATTGGAAGAGAAACCAAAGCAATCCTGATTCCTTCAGTGTGGTAGAAAATAGCCTCTAGAATAGCGATCTGGTAGATTTCTTTTGGCCAAATCACAGACCTCTCATCAATCTTGGAGTCCAATGGAAATCAAATTCCTTCACTCCAGGGGACCAGATTTCTGTGAGATGTTGGGATAATAAGACTATGAGTCTACGCATAATGAAGAAAAGGCTGAAGTGAATCCAGGCCTCTGTCATGCAGCCCACCTAAGCCAGTTTTACCTGACACCACGTGGATGAGATTGAACGCAGCCGCGAGGGACTCAGTCCACTCCTCCACAAAGCTGAAGAACAGCCGGTCAATGTGGAATGGGGTCCAACACACAGCAAATACCAGGACCAGGACAACTGGAAGAGGGTGGGAAATGGGAGAGAAGGGGTAGTGTGGGTGAGAAGCGGTGAATGATGCACGCTCTGAGTCTTCAGTTCCTACTAGCAGTTTCCCCCCCCCACCTTCGTGAAGCTAGAACTGTTATAGACACACTAAATTCTAGAGAGACTCAATGTAGAATGTTCTAACAGAAGTATTCAATGCATTAGATCTACGCTCAGTTTTGTATAGTGTGTGTGTGTGTGTGTGTGTGTGTGTGTGTGTGTTTTGGTCCTGGGGCTTGAACTCAGAGCCTGGGTGCTATCCTTGAGTTTTTGTGCTCAAAGGACTCTTACCACTTGAGCCATAGCTCCACTTCCAGCATTTTGGTGGTTAATTAGAGATAAGAGTCTAATAGACTCTCCTGCCCTGGCTGACTTTCAACCGCAATCCTCAGATCTCAGCCTCCTGAATCAATAGGAGTACAGGCGTGAGCCACCAGCACCTAGCTTAGTTTTTTGTATGATAACTTATATAATTGTTTTCCTTAGAATATTAAAAAAAAAAGGATGCGACACTGTGGCTCAAGTAGAAGAGAACTCACCTTGAACAGGGACAGAGCCTAGGCCCAGAGTTCAAGCCCCAGGACCGGCAAAATATTACTACTACTACTTTGAATTTCTCTCAAAATTCTAAAGATATAATAATAATAGATGGGGATGATGATGATGATTCCTATTATTGAAAGTGAAGCATGCTGCAAGGTAGACAGTAGGAGCCATTCAGATTGATTGCGTAAGTAAATGGCTGTGTTTGAGGAATTGGTGGTGTTTAAAGTCACCGATGAATAAGGAACTGTTAAACACATGAAATTCTCTCATTGTTGTTAAGATGATTGGGAGGTGGTGGAATCTTTAGAAGATGGACCTTAGTTGGAAGAAGTAGGTTATGGGGGAAGAGTGGAGTAGGTTGCCCTTGGGTAGGGATTGCTCCATGACTAATTCTCTCTCTTCTTCTTTCTTCCTGTCTCTCTGGCTTTGTGTCTCTTCCCTGTTTTACTCTGTCTCTCTGTACATCTCTCTCTGTATCTCTATATCTCTCTGTGTTTCTCTGTTTTTGTCACAGGTTCTCTCTGTCAGTCTTTGTCCCTCAATCTCTGTCTCTGCCCCCCAACCCTTTGTTGGTCATGGGCTTGAATTCAGAGCCTAGGTTCTGTCTTTTGAGCTCTTTTGCTCAAGGCTAGCACTCTACCACTTGGAGCCACATCTCCACTTTCAGCTTTTCAGGTGGTTCATGGGAGATAAGAGGCTCATAAACTTTCCTGCCTGGGCTGGCTTTGAACCATGATCCTCAGATCTCAGCCTCCTGAGTAGCTAGGATTACAGGTGTGAGCCAGCAGTGCTCAGCTCCATGGTCTATTTTTAAGGAACCCAATAACCTAATTTAAGTTAACTTTTCCGGAGAGGAGTGGGGGATGTTGGGAGGCTCAGAGAGTGGATGGAATTTACCACAGATCACTGAGTAGAGCGCACTGCAACAAATGTATCGTAGGAAACAGACTTTCAAGGCATGAGAAAGCCTGAGGGAGAAAGATGGATCAGGATGTGAGTTAGGTTGCAGGTCAGGTCAGCAGCAGCACTTTGCCAGGAAGGACCACAATTCCTTTGTACTAACAAACAAGAAAAGGAAACTTCAAAAGTAAAAGGTAGGGCCTTACACAGCATCTTGGTGACTGGTTTGCGGGATGGTCTGTGAATATTTACAGTCATTTCTTCAGCCTCCAGGGACTCATCTTTCTTCAGCTGAAAGAGAAGTGCAAAGATTTGGTGCCAGGCACTGGTGGCTCATGCCTGTAATCCTAACTACTCAGGAGGCCGTGAGAGCTGAGGATCGCAGTTCAAAGCCACCCCGGGCAGGAAAGTCCATGAGACTCTTATCCCCAATCAAACACCAGAAAACTGGAAGTGGCACTGTAGCTCAAGTGGTAGAGTGACAGCTTTAAGCTGAAGAGCTCAAGGACAGTGCCCAGGCCCAGAGTTCAAGCCCCATGACCACCACCACCACCAACAAAAAAGATTTGGTAACTGTAACGTGTCACTGTGAAGTGATCTCAAGATGTGGGATTCAGACTGTCCAGGCTGGCTTTGAACTGAGATTGTCAGGATCTCAGCCTCCTGAGTAGCTAGGCTTACAGGTGTGAGCCACCAGTACTTAACTGTGTCTATTTCTTTTTCTTTTCTTTTTGGATGTTCACCAGATAAAGGAAGCTTTACTAATAATTGAGAAATGGTGATCAAATATCCAGAAATTAATGTAATACACAGTTCATCCTCTGGTGTATTTTTTCCCCCTCATTTCTCTTGCCAAGTAGGACCTTTATTCTCTCTTCGGCAATTTTTACTCCTTCCTCCCACTTGGTCATGATTTTGGCTGGAAGTGACCCCAGCTCAAGCTCCCACGGTTGTCCTCAAGTAACCTGGCAAATTAGAGCCTCCGACTCCCCAGCCACAGTGATTGGATAATGAGATTTCAGATATTGGACCAATGAGATTTCAGATATTTGCTCCTACTTCTTGGGAATGGAAATCTCATTTCCCTTTTATTGGGACTGCCACAGGGAGCCCTTCTTTGCCTAATGTGAGGTCTAGACTTACAAGACCAACTTGTTTTCCATTGTGAGAAAAGAGCTTAGACCCAGAAGTGGGCTACTAATGGAATTTGAAGTTCAAACCAGCACCATGCCAGAGACAGCAAAAAACACAGGAAACTTGTCTAGGTCTTGGATGACATTTTGAGTTTTACTGGAAAAATCCTTACCAAGAACTGGCTGAACATGTGGACTTCTGATCTATACCCATGTTCTACCAGATTGTGTTGCATATCCCCACAGGCCAAACCAAATGTCCTTACAGATTGATAAGAACCACCAATGAAAATGATTCTATGTAGTGTCGTGGCTAGAAGAGAAACAATCTCTACTATGATAGATAGATAGATAGATTGGATAGATAAAGCTGGGCACTTGTGGCTCAAGTCTGTAATCCTAGCTACTCAAGAGGTTGAGATCTGAGGATTGCTGTTTGAAGCCAGTCTTGGCAGGAAAGGCCTATGAGACTCTTATCCCAATGAACCACCGAAAAGCAAGACATGAAGGTTTGATTCAAATGGTAGAGCACGAGTCTTGAGAAAAAAAGCTCAGGGACAGTGCCCCAGCCCTGAGTTTAGAAAGAAGGAAGGTGGGGGAGGGGAGGAGGAAGATGATGAGGAAGAAGAAGACAAGGAGGAGGAGGAAGATGATGAGGAAGAAGAAGACAAGGAGGAGGAGGAAGATGAGGAGAAAGACACACCAGGATGCGATGGCCACAAAAAACATTAATTCTAGATGGGTACTTGTGGCTCATATCTATGATCCTAGCAGTTCAGTAGGCTGAGATCTGAGGACCAAGGTGTTAAGGTAGCCAGGGCAGGAAAAGTCAGTGAGACTCTTATTTTATTTTTTTTTCCAGTCATGGAGCCTGAACTCTGGGCCTGGGCACTGTCCCTCAGCTCTTCAGCTCAAGGCTAGCGCTCTACCACTGGAGCCACAGCACCACTTCCAGCTTTTTCTGCTTATGTGGTGCTGAGGAATCGAACCCAGGGCCTCATGCTTGCAAGGCAAGTGCTCTACCACTGAGCCACCTTCCCAGCCCTGAGACTCTTATTTTAAAAAGCCTGAAATGGAACTGCAGTTCAAGTGGTAGAGTGCCAGCTTTGAGTACAAAAGCTCGGGGAAAACACCCAGGCCCTAAGTTCAAGCCCCAGGACTGGTGAGCATACATACACACACACACACATACACACACATGCACGCACAGACCTCCCCCCCACACACTGGTTGCCTCTAAAGTTCAACAAATGTACATCCTGTATCTTTACCAAAGATAAAAGCTCCTTGAAGTCAGATATCTGTCAGGATGATAGGGGTTGTGAGCAATCCTTGGTATAATTACTGCCATCTGATCACATCTGTCTCTCGATCATTTGCTCACCAGCTATACCTTTGCTTTCATAAGGTAACACCAAGGCCTGGGAGGTTTGGCTCTTTAGAACCACTTAGAACTCAGAACAAGCAAGGAAATAGTGTAGTGATGTACCAAGGAAATAAAAGGGAGGGAAATGTGATCAGTAATGACACAGTCATAACAAAACAGGGCTTTAGGTGGTGGGGTGGGGACTGAACACCAACATGTGGCAGGCAGAAAGATAAATCAGTTATTACTGCAATTATCATGCTGAGTCCATTTAAATAAGTAATGGAACCTATAGTTTTAGTGCCAATACTGGGGCGTGAACTCAGACCCTGTGTACTGTCCCTTGGCTCTTTCACTCAAGGCCAGCACTCTACTACTTCAGCCACAGCCTCACTACCATCTTTTTACTGGTTAATTAGAAATCAAATGTCGCTCAGGTATGTCTGCACAGGTAGGTTTCAAACCTTGATCTTCAGATTTGAACCTCATAAACAGGATTTCAAGTGTGAGCCACCGGTCCCTGGCCAAATGTCACTTCTTGATTGGGTTGAAGAGCTCTGGATGGTAATAAGATCTACCCCCTAAGGAGTAATTTCCTCCAATAAAACATTAAAGCAAACATATCACCTATGGACAAGCCTCCTGTATAAGAAGAACTTTCACTAAAAGAAAGTCACGTGTCAGTCTATTTATGCTGCCGGCTCTTGCAGTTATAATAGCACAACAGCTCATTAGAGGAAGAATGAAAAACTAAATATTTATGCCACTGCCCAGTGTTTTGACACAAATTGAAAGGACTGGCAGAGTAGAAGAAAATCCAATTTGTCAAGTCAACATTAAATGCTGCTTTAGAATGAATAGTAATTTCATTTCCCTTTAGATGTTTAACAAAGAAGATATCCAAAATGGTTTCTACCATACCATCCTTCAAACTTGTGTGTGTGTGTGCACGTGCATGTGTGTGCATGCGTGCACATGCATGCACACACACACAGTCCTGGGGCTTGAAGTCAAGACTTTGAGCTCTTATTTGGCTTGTGCTCAAGGCTGTCTGCCTCTTGATCCATACCTCCATTTCTGACCTTTTGCTAATTAATTAGAGAGCAAAGACTGAGATTTGCCAGCCCAGGCTGGTTTTGATCTATGATCTTCAGATCTCAGCTTCCTGAGTAGCTAGGATTACCAGTGTGAGTCGTTGATGCTTGGCTGTGTCCTCCAAACTTTTATTTGAGAGCTCAAGGGACCAAAGAAGACTGAAATGTGTGGTCACTATGGGCATTCAGAAGCCTTCCTACCTCCCTCTGTCCCACTGACATTACAAGTAAAAGGGAGCTGGGCACTGGTGCTCATGCCTGTAATCTTAACTACTCAGGAGGTTGAGATCTGAGGATCACAGTTCAAAGCTAGTCTCAGCAGAAAAGTCCATGAGATCTTACCTCCCATTAACCAATAAAAAGCCAGATGTGGACCTGTGGATCAAGAGGTAGAGCACTAGCCTTGAACAACAAAAAAAAATCTCCAGGATAGGGCCCAGGCTCTGAGTTCAAGGCCCAGAACCTGCACAGAAAACTAAAATTTAAATTTAAAAAACAAACAAACAAACTTAAAAAAATTCTGTCATAATCATGATCCGCATCTGGGTAAGTTTGGAAACAAAATACAGCTCCCTCCTATAGCTGTGCAAGGTGGTTGCTAGGTAATTTGTAGAAAAGAAATTTAGAGAAGAAATGTAGAGAAAAAAAGAGCTCAGTTTGCCACTATAAGCATAGAAGAAACTTAGCATGAAGACCACTCGAGCTAAGTGTTCATTTTTTTTCTCAATTGCAGGTGTCTCTTACATTTCTTTTTTCTCTATCTCATGTGTTTATGTCTTCATCAATCTCTTCAATCTGTACTTTCAGTCTGCATCAACAGGAAACTAGCTGATTCCCTTCAGGTTTTTTTTTTAAATTATTGTTATTATAGAGGTGATGTATAGAGGAACCGCCATTATATGAGTCAGGTAATGAGTACATTTCCTTTTGTACAGTGTCTTCTGCTCCCTCGCTCTCTCCCAGTCCTCCCTCCCATCTCTACCCACGCGTTGTATAGTTCACTTTCATTAGTGTGTCCAGTGAGCCTCTTGGCTATACTTTTCCCTCTTTTCCCCCAGAGGTCTATACCTCCCCCATCATCCTGAAGATATACATGTGAATACACCTTATATAAGGTAAAAGAGACAGAATATGTATATGTATACATCATACACACGTACACACGTACATACACAGAAACATACACAAATACATACACCTATACACATACATGTATACACACAAATATGCACACATATAAACATGCACACAGATACAAATATATACATACACAGATTCATACACATACACATACAAATGCATACACATACAATATATCCAATACATATTCATACACACATGTATGCACATATACATACAAATGCAGATACATATACATATACAAATATGCTTACATACACATGAACACACATACAAATACATATAGCTAGACATGCACACATATGGAAATATACACAGGTGCATATGCATATACTTTTGCCTATACATATACATATACACAAATAAATGTATGCACATATACACAGGTATACAAATACACAGGTGCATATGCATATACTTTTGCCTATACATATACATACACAAATGAATGTATGCACATATACACATGTATACAAATACACATACACACATATATACAGATATGTATGCACATATATACATATAAACACCCATACATGTGTACAAATACATGTTCATACATGCACACATATAGACACATACACACATTTCACTTATTTTGGTATTTCAACCATAAGTTCTAAGTACCAACAAGGAAGTCTTTGATGTTAAACATGGCATCTCTGTCTTGGACTATGGACTAGGTATTGGTAGTTCATGTTCTCTCCCATTAAATTGGTGCAGAGAACATTCCCACATAAGCAGTGGGTGGGGGGAATGGAGGAGACAGGAAGGAGCTGGCCTAGCCTGTGGTGGGTGCTCAGAGTGTGCTTACCTTGCCCTCCATCAACTGACATGCTTATAATACGTCTCCACTTCAGACTTCCTGAATCAGATTTTCCCACCAGCTCAGAGGAGTAGATGGCTACCTCTAAGAGATCAAGTATATAGAGAAGATAATGGGATATGCCCCAAAGGAGAGGCTGCATGGTTGACCTTTTTAAAAACCGATTGTTTCATTGGAGGCATGTCGGTTTCTTTCTTCAAATTCTCTTTAGATGTGCAGAGGGGTTTCAGAGCAACATGTAACTTTATGAGAGTACAATGGGTCTCAATCTGTGTCACCATCATTCTCCCCCATCTCTTCCACCCCCCCTTCTCAACTCAGTCACTCCCCCCTCCTTCCAGTTCAGAATGGCTCTAGTCCTGTGTTTCTCTGAGCTCTGAGCTTGCAGATCCCACTCCCCAGAGTACTCACCCTGAGCCCCATGAGGAAATAGAGGACACTGATGAGAGCCATAGGGAGGACGTAGAAGAGGAAGGAGGTGACCTGGATGATGGAGTTATAGATCCACAGGGGTCTGATGACTGCACAGGTAGCAGAGCCGGGGACCAGGGACCCGTTGGGGAAGTGGTGCACCTTGATGCCGTGGATACTGGTATTGGGCAGAGAGAAGATGATGGAGAAGATCCAGATGATGCTGAGGATTCGGAGGGCCCTCCTCCGAGTGCTGTCTAGCTTGGCCCGGAACGGGTGGACGATGGCCACGTAGCGCTCCACGCTGACCATGGTCACGCTGAGGATGGAGGTAAAGCAGACAGTCTCAAAGAGGGCGGTCTTGAAGTAGCAGCCCAGGGGCCCAAACAGGAAGGGGTAGTTGTGCCACATCTCATAGGTTTCCAGTGGCAGGCCCAGCAGCAGGACCAGGAGATCAGAGATGGCCAGGCTGAAGAGGTAGTAGTTGGTGGGTGTCTTCATTGTCTGATGTCGGACGATCACCAAGCACACCAAGAGATTTCCCACCATCCCCACTAGGAAAATCAAGGAGTACACGGCGGACATGGGGAGGCAGAGGGGGCTGCGTCGAGGGCCGTAGAGACAGGCCAGGTACTCCTCAGTGCTGTTCAGACAGTTCATCAGTGGATCCTCCGCTTCTTGCTGGGAGATACAGGGGTCGTTGCCAAGCGTGTCCATCCCTGGTATGAAAAATAAAAATTCCTTTCCTCCTAGGAGGGCTGTGTCCCAAGCTGAGCCACAGGAAGGAAAAGTAAGCAAGCAAGCAGTCAGGAAAGCAGAGGCTCAGAGAAAGAAGGCCTGGCCCAGGGAAAGGGTCAGAGCTTCAGACCCCACGTTGGACAGCTCCCAGCTGTTCATTCATCCCTTGTGAGAAGCCCCCAGTGCAGAGGCCACGCCCCTCAGCAAGAAGCCCTGCCCCTGAAAAGCTGGGAGCCAATGAGTGTTGTCAGGGCCCCCCCCTCCACTACCACAGCGGCCCCTCCCCCAGTAGACTTAAAGCCAATGAGTGGTGCCAGGGCTCCCCCTGCAGCAGAGGCCACGCCCCCAGCAGGCTGGAAGCCAGTGAGTGTTATCAGCTCCTCCCTGAAGCTCAGAGGCCACGCCTCCAGTAGGCAGGAAGCCAGTGACTGGTATCAGCCTCCCCAGCACAGAGGCCACGCCCCCCCAGCAGGCTGGAAGCCAGTGAGTGGTGTCAGCTCCTCCCTGAAGCTCAGAGGCCACGCCCCCCAGCAGGCTGGAAGCCAGTGAGTGGTGTCAGCTCCTCCCTGAAGCTCAGAGGCCACGCCCCCAGCAGGCTGGATGCCAATGAGTGGTGTCAGCTCCTCCCTGAAGCTCAGAGGCTACGCCCCCAGTAGGCAGGAAGCCAGTGACTGGTATCAGCCTCCCCAGTAGAGGCCACGCCCCCCAGCAGGTTGGAAGCCAGTGAGTGGTGTCAGCTCCTCCCTGAAGCTCAGAGGCCACGCCCCCGGTAGACAGGAGGCCAGTGACTGGTATCAGCCTCCCCAGCACAGAGGCCACGCCCCCCCAGCAGGCTGGAAGCCAATGAGTGGTGTCAGCTCCTCCCTGAAGCTCAGAGGCCACGCCCCCAGTAGGCAGGAAGCCAGTGACTGGTATCAGCCTCCCCAGCACAGAGGCCACGCCCCCCAGCAGGCTGGAAGCCAGTGAGTGGAGGTCAGGTGCCCTGGTAGGAGAGAAAAGCTGGGTTGGTGAGCTGGCCCAGTCTGCAGTGGAGGGAGGGAGGCCTTCCAGGGGAATGGCAGGCTGAAGAAACAATCAGCTCCACGCAGACTCACAGTGGAACACCTAAGGACGGGCTCTGAGGTCTGTGCTGTTGACAGGATGTGGGAATCTGGGTAGCAATGTACATCAAAGGTGTGCGGTGGGGGTGGTGACAACGTTGTTTCCATGGATCCTTGTCCCCTGGACCACATAACAGACATGGGAGAGCAATAAATAAGACGTGTCAAGCTATTTCTCGGGGGTCTCTGGGGTGGGAGAGGAGGGGGAAGCAGGCACAATGTGATGGTATTAAAACCTCTGAAAGACACTGGCAAATCATCGCAGCTTGTTTCGAAATCAAAGCTGATGTTCTAGCTTCTTGAAGCAGCTCCCCCACACAAATGGATGAGGCATCGCCATAAACATTTAGGAAAGCTGGGGGGAAAATTACTCACAACCCCCAGAGTTCTATGTCCTTATCTAGGCCCCCCATTCATTTTATTTTGTTCAACAGCTACGTTTCCAGGGGTGGCTATGTTCCGGGCAGTGTACTAAGCTTTGTAGAAATATCAGTGTGGAAAGCAAAAGCAAGGTGTCTGCCCTTAAGGAGGTTTATTTTATTGTATTGGTTTTCTTTGCATGGGCCTGAACTCTGGGCTTGGGTGCTGTTGCTTAGTTTTTTCACTCAAGGCTCTAGCGTTTTACCACTGGAGCCACTTCTGGCTCTCTGTAGGTTTATTGTAGAGAAGAGTCTCATAGACCTCACTGCTTGGGCTGGTTTTGAACTTCAACCCTTAGATCTCAGCTTCCTGGGTAGCTAGGATAACAGGCAGGCAGGGAGATTTCTGTACTTAGGAATTCTGAAGATACACAAGGCAATGAATTCATACCATTTCAGATGGAAATGGACACTTTATCAAGAAGGTCAAAGAGTGTTTATGTAACTTGGGCTGATGGTTGAATGATGAAAAGTCAGTCATGAAAGAGCTAAAGACCAAGTATTTTCAGTAAAGGGAATAGCAAGTACAAAGGTCCTGTGGTAGGAATAAACGATGTCTCAGAAACATGGAGGCAATCTGTATAACTGGAACTTCATAAGCGTTATGTACCTTCATACTGCCAGGAGAGTATGAATGATTCACTTGGAACACCTGCCAGGGACCAGATCGTGAAACTCTTATTGACTATGATAAGCAGTTTGGATCATCTTCAAACTGGAGAGTCATTGAATGGGATTCCAGCTTCAGGGAGAATTCTCTGGAAGGTTTAGAACAGGAAGATGGAGGAGGAGGAAGAAGTGGAGGAGGCGGGGGAAGACAAAAGCCAAGTTGAGTCCGCAAAGGTGGACTCCTGGAGTAAATGGGGCTGCATACATTGAAGCCCCTTTAGACTGAAAAGCAATGTTAAGTCTTCCCTCAGATTTGCTAAAGTTCTCCCCTCTATCCAACCCCCCCCAAAGAGTAAAAAGTCAGGCTGGAGGCCTGGCTCAAGTGGTAGAACACCAGTTGAGCAAAAAAAAAAAACAAACTCAAGGACAGCCCTCAGGCCTAGAATTCAAGCCTCAGGACAGGCACAAAATTAAACTAATTAAAAAAAAGTAAAATGAAAGAAATGCATCTTAGGGGCTGGGAAGGTGGCTCAGTGGTAGAGTGCTTGCTTGCCTTGCATGCATGAGGTCCTGGGGTTCGATTCCTCAGCACCACATAAGCAGAAAACACTGGAAGTGGTGCTGTGGTTCAAATGGTAAAGCACTCGCCTTGAGCTGAAGAGCTGAGGGACAGCGCCCAGGCCCAGAGTTCAGGCCTCATGACTGACAAAAAGAAAAAAAAAAGAAAGAAATGCATCTTATTTCTGTTATGAGTATGTGAGTCTCAGTTATAGCCAAGTGGGCAAAAACATGGTTTTGGCTTATAGATTATCAGGAATGTTCAGAGGACCTGGGAAATTGATAAGTTCCTTCAATTGCTAGAGAATTTTAAAATAGGAATTGAGTAATGAGATACATAATTGGGGTGTGTTTACTTGTACTGAGATGACAAGTTACTTCATCAAAGGCCAGACTGTACATCTACAGAGACTTGTCCTAAACTAAACCAAACACTGTTACAAGCTTTAAAACAGTTGGGGACAAGCCGGGTACCAGTGACTCAGGCCTGTAATCCTAGCTACTCAGGAAGCTGAAGATCCCAGTTCAAAGCTAGCTTAGGCCGGAAAGGCAGTGAGACTCTTATCTCCAATGAACCACAAAAAGCCAGACATGGGGCTGCATCTCAAGTGGTAGAGTGCTAGCCTTGAGCAAAAAGAGCTCAGAGACAGTGCCCAGGGACTGAGTTCAAGCACCAGGACTGGCAAAAAAAAAATGTTGGGATCATACTTGAAGTTGTTAGTGTGAAAAACTTTGCAGTTTTAGCTCTCCCTGCCTCTCTTTAAATGATTTTTTTTTTTTTTGGTCAGCTGTGGGGCTTCAACTCTGGGCCTGGGCGCTGTCCCTCAGCTCTTCAGCTCAAGGCGAGCGCTCTACCACTTGAGCCACAGCGCCACTTCTGGTTTTCTGGTGGTTTATTGGAGATAGGAGTCTCACAGTCTCTCCTGCCCAGGCTGGCTTTGAACCGCGATCCTCAGATCTCAGCCTCCTGAATAGCTAGGATTACAGGTGTGAGCCACCAGCGCCCGGCTCTTTAAATGATTTTTAAACTTATATGTCCATTTGTGAGTGGAAGATATTTGGATCAGTCACCCCTGCCTTGTTCCTCTCTGCTCCCATCTATCCATCCCTACCCACCCATTTATGCCTCCTAGGTCTAGTGTTTACATTTGGACATGGAGTCTTTTGTCTCTGTTCGGCCACCTTGCCTCTTTTTCACCTTTTGTGTTGCCAGGGAAGCAAATGGTTTCCTCTTCCTCAGATCATGAGAGCTGCTTCTGGGGCAGTAACTTCACTGTGTCTCTGCAGTGTGATCATCTTGAGATGTTATGGACTAGAAAAGAAAAGAGACAATATGACATCTTGGTGTAACTATTAGTCCTAAATAAGTCTGAGTTTGTACAGGGTTACCCTTTGTAACTGTGCGTTGAAATCAGGGGGCCAGAATGGGCCTATAATGTAGAAAATAACAACAGCCATATTGGTTGTGTAGTTAAGTCTTCTGAGGTTCACTTATCCCAGCCCATATGAACTAGGCAATAATCCTTATGAAAGTAGCTCATGCCTGTAATCCTAGCTACTCAGAAGGCTGCGATCTGAAGATCAAGGGTCACAGCCAGCCTAAGTAGGGAAGTCTGTGAGACTCTTCGCTCCAATGAGCTAACAAAAAGCTGGAAGTGGAACTGTGGCTCAAGTGGTAGAAAGTCAGCCTTGAGTTAAAAGGGACAGTGTACCCAGGTTTGAGATCAAGTCCCAGTATGTCCTCTCTCTCTCTCTTTCTCCCCCCCAAAGGTTTATTTCTTTTCCTGTGTGCTGTGTTGTAGGTGGCTGTTGCTTCTCTTTGCTTCTAGAATAAACTCGAACATCAAAATTCTGCAAGATACCCAACACTCTGCACATCTCCTCATTTGCCCCATTCCCTCTTTCTCAGTAGAATTCAGCTCCTCCAGCTTGCTTTTCCTGCCTCGGGGTTTTTGAATCTCCAACTCCTGCAGCCTGTAATGCTCTCTGCCTCGGGGCTTTGCAAAACTGCCTGCTTCTTATTTTTTCATATCTCACCTTCAGTGTTTCTTTGGAGATTTTCCCTGAATGCATCACCTACAGCAAGTAGACTGTGCTATTGTCTGCCGAATGTTTGAGTCGTCACCTCAGGGTTGTTTTTTTTTTCCCACTGTTGTTGGTGTTGTTACATTTTGTTCCAGTCCTGGGACTTGAACTCAGGGCCTGGGCACTGTCCTGAGCTTTTTTTTTTCTCTCT